CACCCCCACCCCCACGGTGACCCCCAATAACTTCAATAACTTTGTTGTTAGGGGTATATAACACCCTAAGGTTGATACTTACGGTTGTATAGCGGGTAGGGAGGGGTAGTGATGGACCATGGGTTGTTGTGGTTGGGGTGACATCTGATAATGATGATGATGTACAGCACCTCCTCCTCCTCGACCCATCTACAATATATCAATCAGCATAGAAATACACTTGTATTGACAAGTATGAGAGACAAAAGTTCTACAGCATCAAGTACAAAGTGTACGATATTATTTTCTTTCATTCTAATCACAACATTTTTGATTCTGATGTCATTGGTAATAAAATCAATGTCATCCTGTGTGATAAACATCTGGTCATATTTACAGGAAAAGAAACTGGTTTATTGAATATCTTTATTTGTCAACATAACGTATCACTGAAGAGCTATTTTTGTACTGTATATATTGTTATTGTACAGTTATAGCTGTACTGGACTGGGTCAATCGCCGACAACCAGGTTTCTAAATACAATGTACTTAGAGCGTCCAACTAGAGTTCAGAGGGTCCAAGGTTTGAATTCCCAACTGCAGGTCATGCATTCTTCTCTTTCTCCTATTACAAAATAATGGGTGCATGTGTGCAACCCTTGTTTCAAGTTGTTGTCTTTTGTTGTCCATCGAAGCAAAACAACAGTTAAGTACCACTAAGACACTTTTCATTCTCAGAAACATGATAAGATTTAATGCTTAAATCAGAAAGCAAAATCTGTAAAGTCAAACTGTGAAAGGTCAATGGGAGATAACTCTTACCACAACAGGAGCTGCCGGCTCTGCTATGACTGCCGGCATGCATGAAGTTTGCCGAGAATTTCCCGGTAAATTACTCATCATCATCTGCTGCATGACTAACTGATGCATCTGTGCCCCCTGCATCATCATCATCTCCATAAAGTCTGTAACATACAGTAGAACATACAGTATAAATATACAGTATAACATAAGTATAACATACAGTATAACACACAGTATAACATACAGTTTAACATACAGTATAACACACAGTATAACATAAAGTATAACAAAGTATAACATACAGTATAACACACAGTATAACACACAGTATAACATATAGTGTAACATACAGTATAACATATAGTATAACACACAGTATAACATATAGTATAACACACAGTATAACATAAAGTATAACATACAGTATAACATAAAGTATAACATACAGTATAACACACAGTATAACATAAAGTATAACATACAGTATAACATAAAGTATAACATACAGTATAACACCCAGTATAACATAAAGTATAACATACAGTATAACACACAGTATAACATACAGTATAACATACAGTATAAACATATAGTATAACATAAGTATAATTTACAGTATAACCATATGTGATACAGTATAACACACAGTATAACATACAGTATAACACACAGTATAAACATATAGTATAACAAACAGTATAACATACAGTATAACACACAGTATATAACATACAGTATAACATATAGTATAACCATACAGTATAACCATACATGATACAATATAACACACAGTATAACACACAGTATAACATACAGTATAACATAAAGTATAACATAAAGTATAACATACAGTATAACATACAGTTTTTTCAGCTAACTTTTGGCAGTATTAAGGTGTTTGGCAGTATATCAAGGGAGACATATTAAGTAATTAGAAATAAGAAAAATGTGGGACATTGGAATTTGTAAGCAGTATGTAAGGTGTAAAAACAATTATGGACGTTTGTTGAGGTGAATCTGTGGTCATATGAACCCGAGAAAGTGATATTGACAGCAACAAATTCCAGGTAAAACTCACTTTTCAGGTACATGTAGCACATGTTCATTGAAACAAAAATCCTCCATTGATTTTTATTAGATAATGAAATTACGTCTTTTTCATCATTAAACAAGACGGGGTGGAACTAAATTGTCATAGGAATATTCTGCATTTGGCAGCGAGCATGCGTTATAATTGAATGACATCATCAAGGGAATATTTACCTAATGATTCTAAAACTAATAACACCAAGTTGATATCACAAATCATTGACCTACATGTGATAATAAATCAACCAATGAGAATGTAAGAAAAAACGGTATCATCTAGTATTGAGCTTTATATATACTCATTCCACATTTTCATATTTTGCCTAGTTTTCCATGCAGAGTTGGTAACCTTATCATGAGCATGTCATCATCACATGATTTTGACCCTGTAACTTTAATCTTCCGAAGTTTTTCCTCGTCATGGTTAAAACCCAAAATGTCTACCGGTATTCCATTTATTAATTTGATGTGCTATCTGCTATAACCTTAACCTTAGCCTGTTGGTGGATGTATGGACAGACGGGCGGATGGACAGTAAAATTCAACATTTAATACCTCTAGTCACCTAATAGTGGAGGCCCATACCAATCATTCTGGGTCATGTGTACAGACTTCTTTTTCCTTATTCTCCATGACATTCTGATACTGACTGAATGAAAAATTTAATATTGATAAACATCATGAATTTTACAACAAGTTAATGAAACATGTTTTTCCAACTTATGTTGATCACTCTTGTTGGCCTGGATGGAAGCCCACAGAGGATCTTGATGTGGGAGGAAACCGTAGTACTCAGAGAAAACCCATGTGGTCGGGCAGGTGACTCCATAACTTTTCACGTTGGATTGGAGAAATGAACCCCGCCCACCTTGGTGCAAGGTGAATGCCCTATACATTGCGCCATCACATTGCTAAAAAAGTTGAATGATTTGGCGAATGAACCTAAAAAATTGTATGAAACAAACCTGCTTTATTAAACAGCGAGCCTTTGCTGGGCTGGTTGTCGTCTAAGCCGATTCGCTGTATGACTGGCTGTGGGATCTGCTGTATTACGTGCTGTGGGGGCGGCGGGGGCGGGGCTTGGTGCAGTGGGGGTAGGTGGTACGTCTTTGGGGTGTTGATTCTGTGTTCTATCACATGTTTCACTTGATTCATATCTGCAAAACAAAAAATATTGAGAAATATGAAATATTGGTCTGAAGGATAATAAATTTCAAGACACATTCTTGTAGTTACATTGAAGGTTTGGGAGATGAAAATGTTCTCATCTAGCCAACAATTAAATACTTCATACGACCATATCCAGGGATGTCATTGGGAACTGGAAAAAAGGGAGAAAATCAAAATGAAAAGGGAGGAAAATACCTTACTCCTTTAAAACCTCTGAAATTTTTAATGTTTCAGAATAATTGCAATACTTTTAAAATTATGGGAAAAATACAATGACGGAAGAAATCCTCTGAAAATAGGAAGGATCACATCTCACAAGTCGCAAAGGAGGTTGAACAAAACTTGTACCACAATTTTTTCAAATTTCCTGAAAGACAATTCGCATTTGTTATGATGTTACTGTAAATATAACCAATGTCCTGGGATTTTACCCTTTGAATTGTTAAAGGATTATCTCTACTGCTATGCTTAAGGTCATTTGATAAAAAAATAAAAATAAAAGCAGTTCATATAGAACTTGCCTCAAGATCAACTCAATGTTAAAATGAAAATATTCAGATTCACTCCTTAAATTTCTATTTATCATATTCAAAGTCCTGTTCAGTACTGGAATCTACTGAACACCTGCTGTGCTTCATGATGTAAAATGAAAATTTCCAGTCGGTGTTCAAGTTAACTATCAAAGCCAACTGTGACAGCAGTTTACTTATAATTACTATTTTTCGGAACATATAAGTATCACAAAAATGTATAAGTTATTTAGAAGTAGAAATACCTTAAAAAATACATAAGCTCGCACTTAATGATGGAAATGCAGTTAAACAAAATCTAATCGAAGTCAGAAACGCAGAAAACATAGGTCACAGTGACTTACATTTGAAATACTGGTTTAGTACTCCCCAAGGTGTATCCAAATATGAAGTTTAGTGACTGTTGGACCTCTAGTATTAGAGTTACATGGACCTAAATGTGAAGTCTATCCAAGTACATATACGTACGGACTGACAGAAAAGGTAAACTCCTAATGCCTCTCTACTATGTGGCCAGGGGCATACAAATATTATGTATTATTGTTTAATAGTAGAACAGCCATCTTTCAAGTAAAGGTCAAAGGTATTCAATGTAACAATTATGACATCACAATAGGGCCATGGCACTCATTCAGATATGAATGCCACCTGTATTTGGTAGGGCAATGCCATACATTGGTAAATATGATTACATGAACAATGTAAATGTCCATGACTATATGAAAATATTGTGATAAACTGTTATAACATTTTGTTGGCCATCATGGTCATCAATTCTACGTTAAGTGATAGGCAATCTCCCAGTAGTAAATTCTGTACGCCCCCCNTTGACTTCTTTACAGCTCTTTAAAATTCATCCAAAGAAATTGAAAATTTTGCTGAGGACTTACAACTTTTGGCCTTTTACTTGTCGAAAAAGCAATTTAAATGTCATAATGTTTGTACATATTTTAAGACTTTAAATTTTATCAGCTAGTCCTACAAAAGCTTAACTACATAATGGAAACGTCTCCAATATAGAGTACTTATTATATATTCGTATTTTACCATAGATTTTCATGGAAATCTGATTCAAGTAAACCCCTTTCAATCTTTCTCAATTTCAATTTTTTGATAGCACACTCATAAAGCAGATAATCAATTGTGTTTCTCACACTGATACGCACCTCCAATATTAAATTGAATTAAATTAAGAAGAGAACCATGAACATTCGGTGAATTGTGCATGCATTATATATTAACCCTTTCACCACTGTAGACCATAATGGACTCATCCATATCAATGCATGGTATAGAGTCTACTAAATTTACATAGGGGTGAAAGGGTTAAATCTACATTGCTGTGAGGTCAGGATTAAACTTTTGAACGAGTTTGTTTGGGGTTCTAAGTACCCTTTCAACACCTTAGGTCATATGAAGATTAACGCTCAGGGAGACATCAACCAAAAAGAAAAAGTAGGTACCATATAAAACAGGACTGTACTTTCCCCATACATACAGGGACAAGATATAATTTAAGTTCTGACATTGCAGGATATTTTGTTTTTTCCTTTTATGATACTAAGCCATTGACTATCATTAACTCATTCACCCTTGAAATTTCATAATGAACTATTCCAACTTTAAATTTCCATTGGAAGAGTTCAAATGTGACTTTAGGGATGAATGGGTTAAGCACTGTAATCTTTGTTGAATAAGACTTTAAAGACGATGATCATATCCATCATTTAAATTGGTGGTTGGGTGGAGCAGTGGATAGTGCACTTGCTTTTCACTAAGGCGACCGGGGTTCGATTCCCCGATCGGATGTGAAAAGGTTGGGGTCACCTGCCCGACCAGTGGGTTTTCTCCGGGTACTCCGGTTTCCTCCACACACATGTGCTTACATCCAGGCCAACAAGAGTGATTAATATAAGTTGAAATAACTTGTTTCATTATTGTTGTAAAATAAATAAAGTTTATATATTATTCCAGGAATGCCTCCTGTAACACCTCCTGTAACACCCCCCCCCCCCCCCCCCCCCCACACNTCCCCCATATTTTTAATCTTCGTGACAAAGAAGGGTCAAGGTCATTTATTCATACAAACTTGATGGCCTTTCACCCCAACAAGCTACAAGGTCATGGAGCTTTTGAAGACTTTGCTTTAGGATTATAACACATCTTACACCAAGGAACATAACAGTTGGTGAAGGTTATTTATTTGAGCACAGTGAATAGCCCTTCATTCAAACAGGCTATTAGCAAAAAATAGTAACCTTAGACCTTATGGATCTTTAGACAAAACGTTGCAAAAAATTCACTGGAACTTCTTACGAGGTGGGTTAAAATATGTTTCCAGTGACAATCCAATTTAAGAAAAATACTGTTATTGCACACACTGTTTCCTTGTCTAAGAAGAAAAAGGAAGATATTAGGATAGTGGGTAGGAATATTTTTATTTTGTCATCAATACAAAGACTTTCATTCATTTTCCCCCACCTTCAACTAAAATTTTCTAAGTCAAAAGACTGCCTTTCACTTAATTTTTTCCCCAAAGTATATTGTAAAATGATTGCAAGTAGAAGTTACTTAAATTGACTTACGTAAAGGTTTCCGCCTCTACTCAAGACGTATAAGAGCTTTTACACTTTTCTATGAAGAGTGCTAAATACCTTTGTAAAAATGATCTCAAGCAATGCTGAGTCAGCCCAGTTTTTACCCTGTGACAGACCCGTCATTTACTGTCGACCACGATTACAGACTTCCTGTAAACTTAATGAGTAAGCAGAGAGACGTAATTGGTTTATAATTATATGCGCCGTCTGCTACTTACACAATATTTACTTTATGTACCTAGATCTGTACTCGTCACATTTCTGACAATGTACCAACGGTGATTCCTCTATAAAGTACAAAGCAGTTCTTTTTTTTAATGCACACATCTTTTAAAAGAAATCTTTTATACATCAAATATGATTTATGAATCGATATTCTTCCAATATTTACATCTTTTTTTTTAAATTATTTGCCCTGTCTTGGTTCAACAGGAAAGTGCAGAAAATTATACACAGTGATGGAAATGAAAACAGTGTTCATTTGAATATGTGTACGAAGTTTTCTGCCGATTGTAAGGATTGACACGGAACACACTCTGTCGGTGAATACCAGACATTGATAATTAACGGGACCTCACTGGTACAAGCGTTAAAGGAGCGGACGTAAACAGTAAGATTCCAGGACATAGTCCCGTCTCATTTTACATTTATATGGAGAAAAAAAATCATGGAGGATCATTCTACAGTTTGATACGGCATGAATGTTCCAATAATTGATGGAAAATGGTTAAAAGGTCTTAATGAAATAATTATGCAAAAGTTTTATTGGACATAGAAATAATTATGAAATAATTATGCAAATAGATATATTTTATGGGGCATAGTGCTAAGGTTTTTTAAGGCATACAGATGCATATGTTTGAAGTAATATGGTTCAATGATTTTATATAAGCATCAATCCACGTTTTTTTTTAATGATAAAATCATAAATATGCAAATATTTCTTGGAGACATTCAGGCTCTATGACCGGTAGATTCAAAGCATTCAGGTTAAAGTTTTAAAGGGTCTGACACTTATTGTCCAAAATAAATTTCCTTTTTTTTTTTTTTTATTGGGTTTGAGATTATAAGACTCTGTCTTTTGAAAAGGACCTAAAACAATTATTTCACAATAGTGATAGTGATAATACTATTGTTTCTGACAAATCAACACTGTAAAATGTATACAGTTTGCATGTTGGTGTTACATTTTATATCCTGAAGATGAAAATAAAATCCAATTAAAGGAAAGTTAATATGCAACTGCCGGAATGGGATTCAAACAATGGAACTCTTACATATATATAGCTCTAACAAATTGACCTATCTGGTCAGTGACAATGGGCCCTAGAGTCCACTACACCTTAAAGGATTTAACCCTCCCTAAGGACGAGGGCCTCTGGTGTAATAGCACTGATAACCCGCTATTGTATACCCCTTGTCATAAAGGATTGACACTGGCATTTATTTCAAATCTTTCATTCTACCTACAAAAATCTGACAACTTGATAAATATCTGACCACTGTAAGCTATCTCAATACATGTATTAGAAGTAAATCATACAAGGTATCAATATTTTCCATTATAGGACTCTGAAATGATGAAACCATCCCCGAAAGTGATCTTTTCTTGATTAACGGGATCCCACGGAAGACTTTGTTATCTTTGATAGTTTATGGTGACAAGTGTAACAAATAGACGTTTTTTTACCACTGACCAACGGAAATGAAACTAATTACCTGATGACGTTATTTATCATACCTAATATCTAAAGATGCCAGTCTACAGGATTTTTATGGTGACAGACTGTATTTGTATTCTATCAAGTAAAGACGAATGCTTCATAGATATTGTAACTTGTATAAAAAGATGCATACTGT